TTGCGGTGGCTTCTTTTGCTGCGGAGCATGGGCTCTAGGGCGCACGGCCTTCAGTAGTTGCAGCACACGGGCTCAGTAGTTGTGGGACGCAGGCTTTAGGGCGCGCAGGCTTCAGTAGTTGTGGTGCATGGGCTTAGTTGCTCTGCGGCAGGTGGGATCTTCCCAGACCAGGAATCGGACCCGTGTCCCCTGCACTGGCAGGTGGATTCTTAACCACTGTGCCACCAGGGAAGTCCAACCAACTTAATTTGACACTTTGAGAACACTACACATAACAACTGGAGGATGCACGTTATTTTTACATGCCTATGAACCTTCATCAAGATAGATCATGTACTGGACCATACAACCTTGATAAATTTCAAATGATCAAAATCATAAGAGTATATTCTCTAACCACCATAGAATTAAATTACAAACCAATAAAAAAAGACATCTAGAAAATTCCCAAATATTTGGACATTATGGAAAACACTTCAGATTACCCACAGGTCTCAGGTCAAAGAAAAATTCTGAAAATATCTCTATGTGGATGAAAAACAAAATAAAACAAAACTATAACACATCAAAGTTTTTGGGATGCAGTGAAAGCAATGTGCAGAAAAGAAGAAAGGAATAAAGTGAATTATGTACATTTCCATCTTAAGAAACAAAGGAGCAAAAGAAATCCAAAGTTGATTCTTTAAACAAATTAACAAAATTGATAAACTCTCAGAAAGACGGGCGGGGGAGAGAGAGAGAAACTACCTATATCAGGAATAAAAAAGTGGACATACTACAGGTCCTACAGAGGCCTTTTCCCGGTGACCTCATCCAGGGTAACTGGGACTGTAGTCTAGCCAGGCCTGGCCTCATGGCCTATTCCGCTGCACTTAAAGAGGGAGCAGCTAGCCTCCCTGACTCTGTCAATCACTGTGTTGTGCAGCTCCTGACAACATGCCTGGGGGGTGTGGCATTCCAACTGTGGCCTCCAAGTTGGGGGCCTGTTGACTGCTACAACACCAGCCTCTTATGCACATAGAGACCCAGGCCCACCAAGGCCCACAGCCCCCTGCTCCTCCACTATAGCTTGGCCAGGCCCCTTTCTTATCACTGGAAGCCACAGTGGTTATAGTCAGACAGAGGTGGCTGACCCTGAGGGACACAGGGCCACTGCTGCTTTCAGAAGGGTGCTCTGAAAACTGGAGGCCTGAGAACTTCCTGGAGGAAGTGACAGTTAAGCCAAGCTGGCAGAGGCAGGGAAATGGGCAGGGGCAGGGTGTGTGGCCTGACATGGCAGGAGGAGGGGCACAGCCCAGCTTGAACTTTGTCCTGAGGGCCGAGGGACTCCTGGTGGGCCTTTCAGCAGGGGTACAACCTGGTTAGCTCAGTGACAAAGGAATGCTACTCTCTGGGAAGAGGGGAGGATAAGTGAAGTGGGAGAGGCTGGGACAGGGAGCATAGTGAGGGGGCTGGGCAGGGTCGGGGGTCTGAGCCAGGCCCTAGCTCCAATACTGCCCCAACTCCCACCTCCCCTCCTGCTGTTACTCTCAGCTGCGGGGAAGGAAGTGAAAGGGTTCTAGGGGAACAGCAGGAGCCATCTCCTCAGGCATCCTGTCCTTAGGGTGGGAGAGGATGGTGAGCCTGGTGCCAAGGCCCTGCAAGCTGCCCTCTTCAAGGAGTCCTACTGGGGCAGGACAGCAGGGTAGGGGTCTCCTTCTCCTCTCCCACTCAGGGCACAGAGGCAGACACTGTCCCTTGGAGCCCAGAGGATACTGGTTTCTGACAGAACCTGCACTGAAGTGCAGGCAGCATAGCCACAATTACTGTAGGCAGGAAGGGCCAAGGGGTGGGGAGACAGCAGGGAGGCCACAGGCTGCAGTGTGCAGGGTGGACCATGCAGGACCTGGGGGTCTGGGGAAGAGGTTCTAAGACCAGTCACTGCTGAGGGGGCAAGAGCCTTGGAGGCCTCTGCCCAGCCCTGTGCAGATGGCACTAGCACTAGCATTTTCTCAGAGGGGCCCAGAAGGGCATCCAAGGGCTTGGGGCAGGAACCCCATCCTCTCCACCTGCCTGCTCCCTGGGAAGGATTGCTTCCTGCTCCTCTGGCTAGTGGCCCTGGCCCAATTCATGGGAGCCCTGAGGCCATGTTGTTCCCTAGCTCGAATCCTACCCTCCTAGGACGAAGTCCAAACTCCTCAATGCGGTTACTTCAGCTCCCCTTGCAGCCCCTGCCTCACTTCCACAGCCTCCAGCTGGAGCAGCCCTAACTCTTTTTATAAGAGCTCCCTCCCTCTGCTGGGAGCTCTCCTCCTTCAGACACTCCCCCACAACCCTGCCCCAATCCTACCCCTGCTCCAAGGCTGGGCCACCTGGGTCCCAGATATCTGACTAGTGGGTTTGTGCCTACACTGTGTGGGTGCTGACTTTAGTGAAATGAAATTGGAAATTCATTCACAAGTCTTGTGACTCCTTTCTTCAGACGTAACTAATTGCAGGTGGGGGTTTGGGGAACACTTCAGCCTGTTCTGGGCCCTGCCAGCCTCTCCAGTGTCAGCCTGCTCCATGCTCTTTGATCTCTCTATGCTGGCCACATTGGCCTCTTTCCATCTGCATACATTCCTTTCAGCCTCAGGGACTTTGCACCTGCTGTTAGTGTGACTGGGATTCTACATTCCTCCTATACATAGATAAAACCTACTCATCCACCTCCCCAGAAAAACCTTCTTTGACCTCCCTGATTAGGTCAAATGCTCCTTAGGACGTGCCCTTACATTGTGTCTTTTCCTGTGAGGACCTGTCAGAGCATATCTCTACTGTGTGATTACTATGTCGGTCTCTCTGCCCCTCACCTGAGAGCTCTGCAGAGGCGAGAACCCTGTCTGGTTTTGCCCACGCTTGTATTCTCCAGCTCCCAGCACAGTGCCTAAGGTCCAGCAAGTGCTCAGCAAATATTTCATGAGTGAATGGATGGGTGTAGGGGTGGATAGTCCCAGGCAGCAGTTCTGGCTGGGCATGTCAGTGACTCCTCTGGAATTGACTCTTAGAGAAACTCAAAGGTTTTTTTCCAAGGAACTGAGGACTGACTGCCATGTGCCATGTGTTTACCCAGGACTGTCTCTTTATAGAGAATCTAGTTCCTCCTTCTCCCACCTCTCCATTTCCAGGTCACAGATTCAGCCCCAGCCTGGCAGTAATGCTCCACCCCGTAACAGCTGCTTTTATCTTCCAGTCTCCACCCTTAGACTGTCACTGTCCCCGAAGGTGTGGCTACACCTACTGGTGCTGCCCCTAGAAATCACCGCATCATCTTCTTTGGGAGGCTAGAAAGTCACGTTAGAGAAGGGCTCATGGGGACTTCCCTGGTGGTCCACTGGTTAAGACTCCACGCTCCCAAAGCAAGGGGCCCGGGTTCCATCCCTGGTCAGGGAGCGAGATCCCGCACACTGCAACTAAGACCCGGCGCAGCTAAATAAACAAATAAATATTGAAAAAAAAAAAAGAAGAGCTCATGGACTGAGTAAGGCATCCAGGGGCTCTGTGGGAGGAAGCCTGCGTGAGGTTGCAACAGGCCTTGGAAATGCACGGCATAGGCGTGGTCTCTGATCTTTCAGCTTACGGGAGGGAGGGCACTTCCCGAGTCACACAGCTGAGAAGTAGCGGTGACAGGACAGGAACTCAACTCTGTTGACTCCAGAACCCAGGACTCTGAAGCAAGCCAGTTCTCAAGTTGCTACCCTTCTGACGTTTTCGTAGCAACAACAGCTTCCCTGCAGATGAGGAGGAGGAGCCCAGCGGGGGCTACGGGGGCAGATGGCAAGCAGGCAAGGGCACAGACCCTGGAGCGCAGGAGCCAGGTCCGCGCCCCCTCCCCCGGCGCTTGCGCACTGGGCCCTGTTCCCCGCTCAACCCCGCCCCCATAGCCAGGGTTTTCAAATTTGAAACCTGCTCCTTTTCCCGCCCGAACGTGTTGACCAGCAGCGGGAGAGGGCGGAGCCGCACGCAGCCAATAGTGCCTGAGAGGCCCCCTGCCCCGCCCCCAAGGTGACGTCCGCGAGCCTCAAGAGGCAAAGAGCAAATGGGCGAGGGTGCCCGCCGGCCCCACCTCCGTGGCGCCCACGTGCAGCGGCGGAGCCAGGGGCCTCCCCGGGACCACTGGCTCCCAGAGCACCACTCAGTGTGCGGGCCTCTTGCCACCAGCACGGGGCTGGAGACTGAGGCCCAGAAAAGCCAAGTAACCGGCGCTGGGTCGCTGAGCGAAGCGGCAAGACGCAGCACAACCCCACCCCCACCCCCAGCCCGGGAGTTCGCCCAAGGGCCGGGCCTGGATCCGGCGCCCATAGAAGCCCTACGGGAGTCCTAGGGGGCGGGCGGGCTCGCGGAGGGTGGGCTGCGGTTCCCGGGCGCGCTCCAGGGGCGGGGCCAAGAGCTGGGTTGTCCCGGGGCGGGGCGTTCCGGGGGCGGGCCGGGCGTCTGTGTTTGTTGCACCGTGTCAGTTACATTGTAACAAAAGTGGTGCAGCCGCTGCTCCGGCCAGCATCCTAGGCCCGCCCGCAGCCAGCTGTCGCCGACATGGAACCCGTGGCCAGCAACATCCAGGTCTTGCTGCAGGCGGCGGAGTTCCTGGAGCGCCGCGAGAGAGGTGAGGAAGAACCCTTGGTCGGACTCCAGGCGGCGACCTCGCTGACACTGGCCTGGGCTGGACTTGGCTCCCAACTTGGATGCATGGCCTTAGGGCAGTAGTCCTGGGGCACCCCCGCCCTCAATTTAGGGGTCCGCGGGCAGTGGGGCTGGAGGGGGTGGAGAAATGGCCCTGTAGCCAAAAGCCCCTCCCTGACCGTGCCGTGCCAGGGGATCCCGCTGGAACTAGCCCCAGCCTGACGTGGGCGGGGGCTGTCTCTCGCAGAGGCAGAGCATGGCTATGCGTCCCTGTGCCCACACCGAAGTCCGGGCCCAGTCCACAGGAGGAGGAAGCGGTCTCCCCAAGCTCCTGGCGCGCTGGACAGTGGGCGGTGAGGAGGGCCTGGGGCAGCGGGGAATGGGGGGGGGATGGACGCCGTCCTTCATCGGACCCCTCCACTGCCACCTTCCTCCTTATTGCTCGCATCTTCTGGGCCAGGTACCCTGCTCTGAAGGCATTCAGACACCTCCTGCCGTTTCCCCATCCCCCAAACACACACTCTTCGTTCAAGGACTATTTCTCGAGGACCCCTGATGTGTTTGGAACGGTGAATAGTTCTGGGTCCTGCTTCCACTCACACTCCTAATACACCACATATCAAACCACTCGCTTTCCCCCACAGGCTTTCTCCTTTTCTCTCCTACTCTCAACCCTTTGCACACTGTTCCCCCCAATTTGAATGCCTCTCCCCCCACTACCCATTTTGGGCAACTTGTGTTGCTGGGCTCAGCTCACATGTCACCTGTTCAGGAAGCCCTTCCTGATTGTTGCTAAGGGGCCTCCTTTGGACCCCACAGTCACCTGGGCAGGCCTCCTCTCTCTGCCTCTGCCTGGGACTCAGGTGCCTGAGGCCAGCACAAGGTCCCCACAGTGGGCTAGTTTGGGATACACATCTGTAGTGAATTTTGAGGCCCTGGGAGCCCTGGGACTGAAGGTGTGGGCAGTAGCTAACACCCCCTCACCCCATCCTCCCTGGCATTGGCAGGTCTGTGCACAACGAGCTGGAGAAGCGCAGGTGAGTCCCAACCCTGCCCTGATAGCACCAGGCCCCAGGAACTGCCTCCCTCTGGCCTTCCCTCCCCTGCCGTCCCTCATCTGGCCAGCAAGCCTGGGCTGGCACTGCCCTCTAGACCCCTTCCCCCACAGGAGGGCCCAGCTGAAGCGGTGCCTGGAGCAGCTGAAGCAGCAGATGCCCCTGGGGGCTGACTGTGCCCGATACACCACACTGAGCCTTCTGCGCAGGGCCAGGATGCACATCCAGGTAAGAAGCTACTCTGGCGCCCCAGGGCCAGCTTGCCAGGATGCTTGGAAAGGGGTAGTAGGGAGGGGCTGGGTGGAACTGGGGAGAGAGGTCTGAGGTGATAGCCCAACTGCCTGACATTGGATAGTTCTCTGTGCTTTTAGTTTCCAAATTTGTTAAGTAGGAAGAAAAGCAGAAAATAACTCAGGATTGTTCTGAGGCTTTAAGCAAGTTCCTCCAATAAAAGTTCACTTGTTATTACAGCAATTATTACTTGGATCCCAACTGTGAGACCCTGAGCGAGTTATGTAGTCTCTCTGGACTTCATTTCCTCCTCTGTATGGGGGGCATTCTGTGAGGGGTCATGTGTAAGGGTCCCTCGGACTGGAGAGGGCTGTTTCTTGCTCTTCCTCTCCCCCATCCTTGAAGGCCTCCTGTTCTCGGCGGTTGGGTGAGGGGCGGGGGGGTGTCCCAACGCTGCTTTGGGAGGCAGCTCCAGAGGCCAGGAGGGGGAAAGTACCAAGAGGACGCCAGTGAGCCACCATCCCAGGGCTCTTGCTGCTGCCCGGGCTGAGCTCAGCGCCCCCTGATGGATGGGAGTGGGGTGTGCTGACTCAAGCACAAGGCAGCTCCACAGAGTGGGGATTAGAAGGGACTTGGAAACAATAGAGGCCTCTTCCTGCTCTCCTGGCCCTTTTGACAGAGGAAGAAATGGAGGCAGAGCCGGCTGATGAGAGGCAGATTCAGAACCGAGGCCTAGGTCTCCTGACTTGCATTCTTTTCTTCAACAAGTGAGCACCTGCTCTGCCAGGCCCTGTTGTGGGCACAGGGGGCAGTGGCAGAGACAGATGGAGGTGCCATGCAGCAAATAAATCGTGGTGTGGAAACTGTCAGCACTGTCCCAAAGGTGCCTGCATTCTCCTCATTGTGGCTGAATAACACCCTGGCCAGATAGCCGGCTCCAGTTTCTCACATGGAGTTGCTGATTTGGTTCCTGGAGGGATGATGTGTGACCTTGGGTGCTGGCTGGCCCGTGGGCAGGACCTAGGGATTGCTCCTTCCTTGAAGCCCCATCACCCCTCTCCTGGACTCCCTGCTTCCTGTTTTGCCTCCACCTGGCTGCCCTCCCCACCTTGCCCTAGAATGTTCTCTTTTTTTTTGCGGTACGCGGACCTCTCACTGCTGTGGCCTCTCCTGTTGAGGAGCGCAGGCTCCGGACGTGCAGGCCCAGTGGCCATGGCTCAAGGGCCCAGCCGCTCTGCGGCATGTGGGATCTTCCCGGACCGGGTCACGAACCCGTGTCCCCTGCATCGGCAGGCGGACTCTCAACCACTGCGCCACCAGGGAAGCCCCCTAGAATGTTCTTTGTACCACATAGATCTGTCCAGGTCTGCCTCCTGCTGAAAACCTTCCATGGCTCCTGACAAGGACAGTTTCAGTTTCTTTCTTCCTGTGATACTCAAGGCCCTTCACAACACAGGCCTTGCCACTGGTCTCATCTTTCCCCATTCCGCACCAAAAAAGCTGAACTCTCCATGCTTTTCCCATTTTCTCTCTGCCTGGATGCTTCTTCCTCCCCTATCTTTGCCTGGGCAGCTCTTATTCATTCATCTACTCCCAGTCCAAATGCCCCCTCACCCAATTCTCCCCTTCTTGCTGACTGAATGCAGGCTTCCGTCCATTGAGGACCCTGATGGGAGAACCCTTGGTCCTCCAGTCCCTGGAACTCAGGGCTGGCAGAGCTTGCGTGGGGGCAGCAGAAGGGGACTAATGCTGAAGACTTAGGACTCCTGGGAGGGTCTTGAGGAGTTACAAACTGGTAGCCTTTGTTTGGTCTGTAGTTTTCTAAAAATTTAAATTAGTTGGCAGCACTTAAAAGGACATTTGACATGAAAAAATGTGATCTCCCTGCTTCTCTTTAAAAAACTGGGCGATCTGGCAACACTGGGCCTGTTTCCATGTGGCAGTAATTGGCCTGGGCCACTGCCTTGAGCCTTAGTATGCACTCGCTGGTGTGCCCCAGTCCCCCACAGTCCCTGTTGCCTGACACCAGACACTCCACTCATTCACATCACTTGACTGGGCCCCGAGGGCCTTTGAGATTGTGGTGCCCTCCCTTCCCCACCCATCTGGACAGACTTCCTGGGCCATTTACATGGGACAGAAGGGCAGGAGGGCCTAGCTTCCTGTAGGATGTGGGAGCGACCCTCTGGGGCCCAGATCTAGTGAGCCCGTGTGGAGCAAGCAGTCACCACGTGGCCAAGGTTCGCCGTTAAGTGGTGTTGGGCTGAGGCTCGAGACCCCAGGTAGCTGACCCCAGCCCCTTGCTCCCTCGGATCTGCAGAAGCTGGAGGAGCAGGAGCAGCGGGCCCGGCGGCTCAAGGAGAAGCTGCGCAGCAAGCAGCAGAGCCTGCGGCAGCAGCTGGAGCAGCTCCGGGGGCTGGCCGGGGCGGGCGAGCGCGAGCGGCTGCGAGCAGACAGCCTGGACTCCTCAGGCCTCTCCTCTGAGCGCTCCGACTCAGACCAAGGTAAGTGCCCTCAAGCGGAGGGGTCGAGTGGGCTGAGTGGCCCAGTCCCCTGACTGGCCTGCTCCCCGTGCAGAGGAGCTGGAGGTGGACGTGGAGAGCCTGGTGTTCGGGGGCGAGGCTGAGCTGCTGCGGGGCTTCAGCGCGGGCCAGGAGCACAGCTACTCACACAGCAGCAGCACCTGGCTATGACCCTCACCTCCTGGAGCGACCTCTGCCCTCAGCCCACCCTCTGCTCTGCCAGGCTGGAGCCCTCACCAAGCCTCCAGGGCTGCTCAGAGTACTGCTGGAATGGACTAAAAGGACCGTGTGGGAACAGGTGCTCCCCGTACCTTGCTGCTGGCTGCTGGCAGTCCCACCTAGGACGGGGCGCCGAGCCCCCCCTGAGCCCTGCAGGGCAGGCAGCTTGGGCCCAGGCCACCCTTCCAGGCGTTTTTTGTAGCACTTGGCTCTGCTGTCCACAGGGGCAGGAAGCCTCTTGGGTCCTCATGTTCCTTCCTAAACAAGGGCCCCTGGCCTTTGCCCTCCACATACTATATTTTCATTAAAAGCCTCTTTCTTAACTTCCTGTCCATGGTCTTGCCTGGTGAGAATGGGGGAACTCCCAGCCACAAACTGGAAAAGAGGAAATGAGATCCATAGCCACCATAAACACTGCTGTCCACACCGGGCAGTGCCCCTTTACTCCTCACAACTCGGAGGCCTCAGTCCCTGTCTGTCACAGTGGGACTGAGGCTGAGTGACGTGACCCGCCTGAGGTCCAAAGCCAGGAAACAGTTGAGTCAAGATTTGAACCAAAGCTTTCTGACTCCAGAGCTGGGGCCAACTGAATTCAACAAGTATTTATTGAGTGCCTGTTATGTGCAAGATTTTGTTTCAGGTACTTGGGACACATCAGAAAATAAAACAAAGGTCCCTGCCCTCATGGAGCTTACAGTCTAGCGTTTATGACCACTTCACCTGGACGTGACCCTGCGCAAGTCACTGTACCTCTATCTTCAGCCACCTGATGCAGGAATAAGCAGGCCCAGCTCAGACATGGGTAACGGCCTGGTGTGCTGGAGAGGCCAAACAACACACCCACACCCAGCCCACCACCCAGACAGTAGACAGGGCTGGAAGCTGACTTTTAATAATAAAGTACAAGGAGGAAAGAGCACAGGGACTGGAGCAAGTGGTCTGCTGTGCTGTGGCCCCAGGGCCTGGGCTGGCTACACAAACTGCTGCTGCTGCTGCTGCTTCTTGGTGGCTGCCTTGCTGGCAAGGTCCTTGGCCTTCTCTGTAGCTGCCAGTGCCGTTTCCTTGGCCTTCTCCTTGGCTTCCTTGGCTGTTTCAACAAGGGTTTTGGGAGGGGCCTCACCTGGAGCAAAGGGTGGGGACTGGTTTCAAAGAATGCCAAGACCCACCTAAATCACCTCCCAGGACATTCATCTCCTGTGCACCAGGCCCTGAAGGAAATACCCAGGGTACAGATGAGTTGCTCAGAGTAGGGTGGTGACAGCTCCAGGCTCCAGCCCAGGCAGGGCAGTTAGGACTTGACTCAGCCTCTGCCTGTGTGCAGAACCCTCACCTTGCAGCTTGGCCAAGATGTATTCAAAACCCTTCATAGTCTTGGTCACGTTGCTTTTGAACCGGGCGAGACCAAATTCCTGGCAAAAGATGAGAAGGGGAAGGATTCTGAGCTGCCCACTGAACCCCAGCCTGGACTCTATGTTACATGCCCTGGGCCCCAGAGCCCCAGCACCACAACAACGCTGCTCACCTGGACAGCTCTGGAGACGCCGAACAAGCTAGAGGAGACCCAGGCTTCCCGGCAGATTTCGGTCCAGCCGCTGTTATCAGAGTTCACACGGTAAACACATCGTTCCTCTACCACCTGTGCAGGCAGTCAAGCCAACCACAATTATGTGGGAGTCCTTCACTTTGCCAGCTTGCACATAAATTTGATTCCCTGCCTCTTTTCACTAGGGAAAGCAATAAAATGAAAACCGATTCCTTTCCCTTACTGTATTCCCAAGCTGCACTTTGGGAAGAGAGTAAGAAGATGAAAAAAAGTCATTTTGCTCTCTAAAAACCTCTCTTCTGACCCTTCAAACGAAAAGCTACATGGACTCTTGAGATCAGCAGAGGGCCTTCCAGCTCCATCCTGGATGTTTTGTACCTTTACATCTAGACATGTGTGGTGTTTTCAACCTGGCTTCCACCCACTGTGGCCCTTGAGCTCCTGACAATCCAAAAAAAAAAGAAAAATCCGCAACCACCACAGCTCATTATCAGAGAGGAGAAAGTGGACCTGCACTTCCAAGAGAAACACTTAAGACACCTGTCACAGCTGGACTGAAAGACATTTCTTAGAGCTGGATCTTTTCTTTGTAATTTACAAAACACAGTTGTAGTGCCCTCAGGGCAGTCAGCTGTGAGGCCCTCAGATAACTCAGGGGCAGAGCATTAAGCTGCCTACTCACTCTGTGACTTCCCCTCTCTGGACTTCACTTTCCTCTTTGCACAATAGAGAGTAATACCCACCTCCCTGTGTTATTGTGAAGATTAACTGAGAAAGAAAATAACAGTTCTCTGGAAGCTTTTAGGGTACTCACAGGTGAGAAGATACTGTAGGATGTTCCTTAAACCAAACCACAGGTTTTCAAGCCTTTTTAATTTTTTTTAAAGCAAAGGTATATGCAACCCTTTTCCCCTGAAATCTCAGGCAGAAATCCACTACATAAGACAGATAAAAGACTCTAGTCAAACTGGTGCAAGGGGCCCAGATCCTCCCCCTCTAAGGTACATGCAAGGTACCCTTTATGGCTTGACAGATTCCTGTTTGAAAACCACTGCCTCCCTCCGTCCCTCAGCATCATGCCTGTGGCCCAACCTGCACACATGCCAGGCACAGTGTGAGTGCTCTGCATTTAGTACTTACAATGACTCTGTAAAACAGGTAACCCCCTCCACCACTGTATGAGTGAGTCAAAACACAGGTCCAGAGAAGATGACCAGCTGAAGAGATCATCTGAGTTTGTACTCTAGCGCCAACACTCCTCAGATCTGCTTGGATCATAGAAGCTCCCTCATGGCTCCCTAGCCACATGTACCTGGAGCTCTCTAGTTCTGGGGGAACCAAGAGGGAGGGGTCTCACCATCAGCCGCGCATGGTTGATGTTCCAGGTGAAGGTGGTCATGGTCTGGTTCTGTGGGTCCACAATAGAATCCTCCAGGATGTACACTGAGTGAGCAACATTGGCAGGAAATAGTCGCTCAGCCCAGCGGGGCATCCTGTTCGTCTTGGTCAGGAGTCGCCGGGACAGGAGCTTCTGGTCAGGGGTCACCTCCCGGTGCACTATGTCTTCCGTCAAGACATGTTTGCTGCAGGTGTCAGGGTGAAGGTGACCCTCAGGAGCCTGGCCCTAAGAGACTGCCTGTTGGGGTTCCCATCTGGAGCCTCCAGGTCCAGAATGGCCATGACTTTCCCCAAACTTGCAGAGTGATCTGTGTTGTGGCTCAGACCTGAACTAGAGTTCCTTGAGCCTAACCCAGGGCAAATTCCAACTCCCGCCTCCTCGCTGACCTGGATTCCTAGGCCTTCCAGCAGGGCTGGACCTCATGATTTATTGCACCACTGGAGAGCGTCATGGCAGAGAAGTAGACAAGCGCCCGGATTTCCAACCCCAAGATCCCTCCCCAGCTCCGGTGCCGCCGCCTCTTCCTGTCTCACCACCCTGAGATGAGAGAACCTTTCACTAGGGCCTCAAGTAAACTACTGCCCAGACCCAGCCTCCTTCCAGTACTAGCCTGGCCGCTTCCCCGATAGGTCCTCTCGTCCTAAACGTGGCCACGGCTCCGGCGATCCCCCCACTCGAGGTCGAGTCTTTCCCGGCCCCCACACTCCGATCTCCAAACAGCGAGGTGGGAGGGTTGCTCTTTCCAGGGCCACGTACCTATAGGGATTCGGGTACCGCTGCCAGAAGGCAGCGAACACTTGGTCCCAGGAACTCCGGAGCACGCTCTGGCCCAGGAAATACTTCACCATTGTCCAGGCCGGGCGGGCTCAGTGCCCGCGCAACATCAGGGGTGCGGAGCCCGGGGGGCACGCGGAGACCGGGCTGGAGCTCGACGCTCGGCCGCCAAGCTAGCAGCTCAGTCACTCCAGCGCCGCACCCAAAGAGGCGCCACCGCCGCCATGAGGATTTGTCTGGCCGCGCGCCACTTCCGGCGCAGCCGCGCACTGCCCACCTCTTCCGGCGCCTGCCCAAGTGACCGGGCGGCCCCGCCTCCCCAGCCTCTACCTCCTCCCCCGACGCGGGAGTCGCGGTGCTCCGGGCCGGAGCCAGGTTGGAGGGACCCTTCCCAGGCTCTGTGGGGAAACCGTGCCGGAGCGGCCCCTAAGCCGGGCGGGCAAGCGAGTAGCGGAGCGAGCTAGCGACCCGGACGCCGGCGTTGAGTGCACTTCCCCGCACGCTCCCAGGCCGCCCCGGGTCCTGGGCTCTCAGAAGGAGGATCAGCACCCGGGGCCGAAGAGCGGGGGCGGACGGAGGCGTTGCTGTAGCTCAATATCGTCGCGGCGTCTGGAGCCTTAGATTGGCGGCTGGGGTCGGGGACTGAGGCTCGGGCGCTGCCTTTCGTAGTGGAGATCCGGTTTGCCTCCCGCCCCCGCTCAGGACCCTGAAGCGGGTGAGGCAGCCCCGGGAGCATGAGCGGGCAGCGTGTGGACGTCAAGGTGGTGATGCTGGGCAAGGAGTACGTGGGCAAGACAAGCCTGGTGGAGCGATACGTGCACGATCGCTTCCTGGTGGGGCCCTATCAGAACGTGAGTGCGCCCGACGCGGCCCAGCACGGGTGGGAGGGGGCTAACCCGCATCCGAGGCCCTGATTGCTTCCCCTTGGTTGCAGACCATTGGGGCCGCCTTCGTGGCCAAGGTGATGTCCGTCGGAGACCGGACGGTGACTTTGGGTATTTGGGTAAGTTCTCTGGGCAAGTCCTGGGAAAACCCATTCCTGAGGAGGCGTAGGTCCTGCCTATTACTGGCTGACTTGTGGCCTCACAGGCCATTTCTGTTCTCTAGACCACAGTTTAAAAACGGGGTCTGGAGAACGTGGCATTAGTTTGCAGTTTTGGGGAGTAGCTCAGCAACTCAGGCCAGGGCTGAGCCTCCCCCTGCCCTTCAGGACACAGCAGGCTCTGAGCGCTATGAGGCCATGAGCCGAATCTACTATCGGGGCGCCAAGGCTGCCATCGTTTGCTATGGTAAGGATGGTTTTGGCCTGTTTCTCAAACAAGAAGGGGAGGGTGCCAGGCTGGCATTACAGAACAGCTTCTGACCCTTGGTTGTGTTTCCTGCGTGTCCCACACCAAGACCTGACGGACAGCAGCAGCTTTGAACGGGCAAAGTTCTGGGTGAAGGAACTGCGCAACCTAGAGGAGGTAGGTGGCCCGACCTCACCAAAAGACGAGACGGGCTGGGGATCTGGTGGTCCGAGGGGGGTGACCCTCACCTTGTCTTCTGCTCCAGGGCTGTAAGATCTACTTGTGTGGCACCAAGAGTGACCTGCTGGAGGAGGACAG